GCATTTGTAGCTCTAGATTACGCTTCGAATGGAAAAAACGACCAAAATTTCAGAGTCCTAATATAATATAATATAATATAATATAATATAATATAATATAATATAATATAATATAATATAATATAATATAATATAATATAATATAATATAATATAATATAATATAATATAATATAATATAATATAATATAATATAATATAATATAATAATAAAATGTAATATAAAAATTGACATTTATTTGAACTTGAACTCGTCGGATGGTTGAGGCCTCTACCAAAGCCTGCTCATCTCTCCAAAGTCGAAGCCAACCCGATTCAATACACGCAGGACCCTAATTCTGACATTCTGGCTCATATTTACAATCTATTACTGCTACGAAAATGCAATGATAGCGCAAAAAACAACGTTAAAGCCTGTGAAGCTATCCTCTTCATGTTACTCAGAGCTCATGATATAATAAAGTTCCATAGATAAATAAACTCGTTGTTTATGTATAGTTACATTACTTATACCCACTAGAAAATTCAGTAATTTAACCTATTATAGCGATAAAAAATGTTTGTAATGGTGATTGTTGAGTAGCTTACCGCCTGGAGCATGCCTTTATACCTGCTGTAGCATGCCTTTATACCTGCTGTAGCATGCCTTTATACCTGCTGAATAGCATGCCTTTATACCTGTAGTAGCATGCCTTTATACCTGCTGAATAGCATGCCTTTATACCTGATGGAGCATGCCTTTATACCTGATGGAGCATGCCTTTATACCTGATGGAGCATGCCTTTATACCTGCTGGAGCATGCCTTTATACCTGTTGTACAACATTCAAAGAGCCATCTGCATCAAAGAAATGTTCCCAGTAATTGATCCGTCGGTTAAGTTGAAACCGGTTGCAGATAAAAATAATGGCAGTTTAATTTCATGCGATGCTCCGACAGTACGATGATAAAGGTTACGTCAATTGTAGAGATTAGCCGAACCTGGAATTATTACTATTATCCATTATAATTATTCATAATGATCAATATTATATATTTATTTATTATAATACTATTACTGCTATATATTATACTATTGTTCGCTATAATAAATAATAGGATTATTTATTATTAGATTATTTAAAAGTTTACGGCCAGGTAAATTAGAGCCATAAGTCAACCGAAAAATTAATATTTTTAAAACGCAAGAACAGCCAATGATGAAAAATATGAAATTTCTTTCTTATCTCTCACCAAACGACTTACTCAACATCCGAATTTGATTACTTTTGTTTCTTTGATTACTAAACATCCTAAAAATTGAAACTTAACTGTTTGATCCACTTTAGGAGCTGTTTGCATTGTATTTCATTACATGTACTCAATACTTGGCTTACTTGGCTTATATGGAGTCGGTTTCTCAATTTAATCCCATTTCTGCTGTCCAAATCGACTGCATAAGGCAATGCAGGTATCCCGAAAAGGCAAGAGTTCACTCGTGTCGATAAAAGTGAGAGCATTCGATACTCAGAGCACTCAGTGCAATGGAGGCGAGAATGAAACTTTAATGGTTACATCGCCATGGTCTAGTTCAGCCTAGGATGTAGGAGTCGTACAAGGGCTCGTGATAAGAACTAGATGGCAAAGTCACTCGACTCGCTTAGGAGATTACTTTAAGAGGAGGATCCATTAATTTCTTGTCCAATATAAATAGATTATTCGCGGTAAACGGATTCAAGTATATAGACTAAGTGAATATTAATTAGGAAATTGGCATTATTAAGCAGCTTTAAAGAAACTCAGTTGTAACCCATAAAACTTTTTTACTTGAATGGCCCGAATATCCCCTAAAAAGAAGCAGTAACTTATATAAAACCTCAATTGCAAACATCTGATAACCCTCGTTGTAATGGATTTGTGGTCTCCATCTTTTGTGAATCGATGTTAACTGATCTCGAAAATGATCACCGATTTCAATATCTAGTACCTAGATATATCGAAAGTGTATATGATAGCAGAAAAAAGCTAAGATATAAAGTATTTTTAATGGTCTTTGGTGTTAAGAATTATCATAATACAAATAGTGAGAATAATTGCATTGCTTCTCGAATCCTGTGTGAAGATTAAAACAAAAAAAAAAAAAAAGATTTGCAAGACCATAATATAAATAAAGTATTAAGATCATTTGACTGCTTGAATTGCAAGTTTATCAAGAATTTAAAAACAAAGTAAAAAGCCAAAAAAATTCACCATTTGTTACGAGAGAAAACGTTTCAGAGTCAAGTTCCATCGTCAGTTGAAACACCTAGGACACGACAAAATATTTTGATGACCTCCAGACGGAATAATTCCACTTCCCATGTCCCTTTGGAGATCATATTTCTCTCATGTTCACTAAGATAACAATTAAAAAATGTGCAGATGCTTGGCGAGGTATTGAGTGCGTGACACCAGCGAGCGTAAAAAGGGTATCTCAGATACACGTGTCACCTGACGCGCTTTATGTTGCAAGCGATAGGAAACGACGACAAACACCTACGCACGTCAAGATATAGCGAGGTTTACATTAACTTGGTCCAAACACAGACACGATCTTGCTATTGTTCGAGAGCTGAACCCTCACGACTTTGTTTAAAATGAATTAAACATTTGGCTCGGGGACTAAAAATAGAAATAAATGTGCAGCGTGTTGCAGGCCAAGCAGATGGAATAGTAGATTTGAAAATTGAATTTGAATATAAAGAACAAGAATAGATGAACATAAAAGATTAGAGATCAAATTTAGAATCGGAAATGACGACCAACATACACGATAAATGTGAAAGTTACAGCATAAGGAGTTTTTCTGACAAAATTTATTTTGATAGGAAAAGGTGAAGTTTAGAGTCATTTTATAAAGCATTTAATAATACAATGCGTACTTGATCATTTGAGGACCAACTTCATCAGCGAAGTGTTCACACGAAATGCAATACCATGAGCATATATTAACAAGCCATCAATTCTGAGAAGCTCGTTCCAGGAGACATTTCAATTTAGCGAATGCATGGCTTCTGGTCATGCCTGATTAGCGTTCTTTGTGTCTCAATTTTCTCATTGGTCAATGTTGTAATTTGTTTCATTATTAACGAATGCTGTAAATACCCGTTCTTTCGATAATTATTATTGTAACTTTGTAATTATCTGGCTAAAATCTTTAAATAATAATGTCTAAAAATACTAATAATGATTATTCTAAGCGATAATAAAAAATAAATACACTGAACCGTTATTCGAGTCGTGCATATAATTGTGTTACTTCAGAGCACTCGAAATCTTTTACTTTTTGACCCAGCATTTTTATCAGCAGGCATATTTCTAACTTTCACTCTTTCTAAAATTTTCAGATACTTGACAGAGGCAGGAAAAATTATATCATGTAATTCAGGTAGTCGACGTAAATGAATTTTTACGACGAATAATGTTAAGTGGGACACTCCTCACGTAAAAATGTAATTTATTTACATTAATAATTATACCCAAGAAGAGACAAGCTTAAAATGAATGTTACAAACCTCTCCAAAATATACGAAAGGCACTAGTAACCGAAGAGAGCATCATTTAATATGCCGAGTCTGGTAATTTAAATTAACGCTTCTAGTCACCGACATGTGGAATGGCCTACCTAATGGCATCGTTGACGCTCCGAGTAAGAACGCCTTCAAGAACAGACTAGACGAAGCTATGCAGGAGCATATGTTCAGTCTTAAAATGCCTAGCAAATTACGGACCAGGCAAAAAGTCCAGACGAAGCTATGCAGGAGCATATGTTCAGTCTTAAAATGCCTAGCAAATTACGGACCAGGCAATAAGTCCAGCAGCTATCTCAATCAATCGTCAGTTATGGAAAGATCGGGTTCCAAAGGCCGGATCTCTTGTGAATCAAGTCACGAAAAGTTCAAGAGTCGGCAGCAGGCCATGGGCCTATTTCTTCAGTGCCGACACTTCTATTCTATTGTAACTTTTGTTGGCTTCGAGAAGCCAGAGCTGGAGATGATACGAGATCCTTGTAGCAGCGTAAGTTTGTACACGGAAGCGCCATGTTGACTCGACACTCTGCCACAGCTGCGCCGCTCTGTGGCTGCAGGCTAAGCGACGGTGGTCGTGACATAGCAAAATTGCCGATCATTTTACAAAGGCCAACTACAGTATTCTGTAGCAGAATGCATTATTCAATCTGCAAACGTGCGCTAGAACTTGCCGTATAAATTTCACATGATGTGTCTTGTGCATGGTAGATAGCATAATGAAATTGACCAAGGAATTTAAAAGCAAAGAAAACGCCAAGAAAATGCACCATATCGATATTGAAAACGTTTCGGAGTCCAGCTCCATCATCAGTTCGACTAAACTAAAAATGAATAAAATTAGGTGACCAATGCTTAAAAAACGGTGCAAAATTCAATAAATTTTAATGCAAAAATTGTTTTGAATTTGTGAACGAGAGATAGCGTAAGAATTAATTAAATGTGGCCCAACAAAGGTATCTTTTCAAATGACTAATGAAACCGACTACTAATAATTAATGACATCATTCAATTGACGAACGTCGCCTGAATAAAGCAACGGAAGATGGAACTGATACATGCAAAACATGCAGTGGAATGAAATGTAAAATAATTCAAATTCAGCGAAAAAATAACATACAATCCAAAAAAAGGTAGTAAACTATGTAAAGAAGATTTCATATCAATTTTTTCTTCAAATCGAACTATTTTATGATTTTTTGCTGTAATTAGGTTAACGTTACATTTTAAATAAAGCACAAAAAATTATAACTGAAATAATGGGATTAAATAATTGAAATAAAATTCATGATCGAGCCGAACTGCATCTTTTACGTGTAAACACATCAAAAACATAAAATAGGTGCGCCAAATGAGCGGATGAAAGAAAAAACTTCTTCCTTAACATAGCAACAAGTCATAGAATTACCCGAATTATTTTTTACAGCTAATTACACCTTTTACAGATTTTCCTTACCTCTGTCAGGGAATATTTCAATCATGACTGCGGCGATGAGGCGAGGATTTGTTCTTGGAAGACGTTCTTGATCTTCAGAGCACATTCGCTTAAACATTTTAGAGCGCACATTTAAGATTAAAGTTATGTGAAGGAAATTTCATCAAAATCATAGAATGGAGTTGCATCATACTCGTGTTACGTTTCAATAAATTTTCAACACAAAGAAATTTTCCCCATTTTCACCTGAAAGCTTTCAAATCTTTTAATGACGCCTTAATCTTTGAATTAACTCATCTTCATAATTTTCAAATGAAGTCTCCGAAACGTTTCCAAAAATTAAGCTTCAAATTTAGTTTGGAACGCCATTAAGTTGTTAACTAATATACCACTCGATTTTTTCAAATTCTTCTTCCTCCAGCGTATGAAATACGCTTCCTCTAATTCAGTCGTAAACTCAACACAAAAATTCTCAAGCCCCGTCCAGCCACACAGGAACAGACGGTCTCGCGTATCTATGGAGAACCCATGCTTTATATGTTATTCTCGCTTTCACACGGTGAACAATCAATGGCTTATTCATACAAGATGAGCGCGGTCATCAGTTCCTGCAGTTCGCTCCGACAATCTCAGGCCATAAATAAGACTTAGAACAGGCTTATATTTTATGGCCGTTCGTCGACTCTGTAGGAGCTATATTCTAGGGATTATCACTGCAAAAATAGAATAAAAAGAATTGTATTTTGCTACTAGGCTTTCATCCCTGAATAATTCATGATCTCGTTATGAATGTGAGAACTTAATCCCACAAAAAATATTTGACAGAGATCAATTCATGAAATAGTCAGTAAACTGAATTCTCTAGCAAATATTTTACAGTCGTTTTTAATAACTAATAATTTCTCTTCAGCGTATTGAAATATGAATTCCAGATTACGTCTAAATGCAGTGATGGCGTACGTATACATTTCCTTACATGAAAGGTCAGAAACTTTGACTTAATACATTAAATTAAATAGCTTTATACATAAAAACAAATAATTTATTTTACTTTTATTAGTATATTACGAGCAGTTTAAAACACATATCATAACTAGTTGATTCATTACATTATCGATAAATACACAAATAAATGTATCTTGAAATTAGTAAATCACCTTTAAAAACGATAACAACGTCCGTAAATAGTTAGGGCTGAAATCATTTCAGCTGAAAAGAGGAAAAATGTTTTCAATCAAACTATCACTTAAACTGTCAGTTTAGTAATGTTTCTTGATAAATAGCACACTTAAAGAAGAGTTATCAAGGACGCTTCAAATAGTATGGTTAGATGATACCCAAAAATACTGCTTCTTTCGATCAGAAACTCAAGTTTCAGGTGACAAATTCATGACACAATGATGATTTTTAATAAACTTTTGATATTACTCAATCCATATTTAAATAGATTAACCAATAAATTAGAGCCTTTATACCCAAGTCAAGACTCGGCTGATACACAACCCTCCTCACCACAGCTCAGGCACTACTGGGCATGCGATGCGGTGACCCCGCTTTTATAACCCGCCGACTCTGGCAGGTGCCCGCACCCATACAGCACCACAGGCCATACAAGCACTAGGGCACTCTTAAAGATTGACCTCTGAACCTGTTACAACAGGTTCTAATGTTTCCTGTTACAACAGGTTCTTAATGTTACCTGTTACAACAGGTTCTTAATGTTACCTGTTACAACAGGTTCATAATGTTACTCGTTACAACAGGTTCTTAATGTTATCTGTTACAAAAGGTTCTAAATGATACCTGTTACAACAGTTTCTTAATGTTATCTGTTACAACAGGTTCTTAATGTTACCTGTTACAAAAGGTTCTTAATGTTACCTGTTACACCAGGTTCATAATGTTACCTGTTACAACAGTTTCTTAATGTTATCCGTTACAAAAGGTTCTAAATGTTACCTGTTACAACAGGTTCTTAATGTTACCTGTTACAACAGGTTCTTAATGTTACCTGTTACAACAGGTTCTTAATGTTACCTGTTACAACAGGTTCATAATGTTACCTGTTACAACAGGTTCTTAATATTACCTGTTACAACAAATTTTTAATGTTACCTGTTACAACAGGTTCTTAATGTTACCTGTTACAACAGGTTCTTAATGCTACCTGTTACAACAGGTTCTTAGTACACTGAGGTATATCTTGAAAAAAATCATCTCAATTCCCCAAAGTTTGATTAATTTGACAATTCAGGAATAGGTACTGAATTTCATCAGGATGTGTAATTAAATTGTCATAAGAAATTTACTTAGCAAGTCATATCAAATATTTGGCGTCATTTACGTTAAGATATAAAGAGAAATTATATTCTATGAACACAATTGAAATTTGCACATATTTTTGTGACATTTTGCGACCAATTTCTTTGGACGCGATGGCAGTCTCGTATCGAATTCAATACACGAATTAAAAAACTGGAACGAACGTGATAAAATATTGATTTTTCTGAATAAATGTCAATCAAATTTTTGCAAGCAATGCAGAAATATCAGAACCCAGTTGATGTGTAATAATTAGCAGACATTTCCTGAAGTTCATTCAAGAGGTATAAAATACTTACCAGAACTTTTTTTAGTTCAAAATCTCTTCAAAGGGTGAGAAAATATTTGAAAACTACTAACAACCAATCAATACAATTAATCATTAACTGCACACTTGCCACGTTATGAGAATCAAAATTTCATTTCAGTCAATTTGATGGATGGAATTTAATTTTTTCCGTTTTTACTCAGTTAGATATCGCAACGTCAGATATCGAAACGTCAGATATCGAAACGTCATATATCGAAACGTCAGATATCGAAACGTCAGATATCGAAACGTCAGATATCGAAACGTCATATATCGAAACGTCATATATCGAAACGTCATATATCGAAACGTCAGATATCGAAACGTCAGATATCGAAACGTCATATATCGAAACATCAGATATCTAAACATCAGATATCTAAACATTAGATATCTAAACACCAGATACGAAACGTCAGATATGGAAACGTCAGATATCTAAACATCAGATATCGAAACAGATGAACTATCAGGTCCTTATCAGTTCCAGAAAGCTCTTTCATACTATATAAAGTCATGCTTACTTTTTTCCTTTCGCTACTATATACTTCCGATACAATTTTAACTTCAACTTAAATTTCGGAAAAAGGTAGCGTTTATGTTCATGCCAAAATTATTTGGAACCTTTGACTTCTGCATATTTTGAAGTCTTAATTGACCTCTTGAAGTTACATCCTGATTTGAACATTTGGAATTCAAGGAAAACGGATGAAAAATTCTTTTCGGTGTTAAAGAACTGTGATAAATGGCAGTTCATACCTTCTATAGACATGAGTTAACTCAGGAAGTAACTTCTGAAGATTTGCGATTAACCCCCGACGGAATGCATTAGTGAAATTGTTCATTATACAAATAACCTTAGTTCATTATACATATAACGCACTAAAATTATGCAGTCTGGACTGGGTTCAACATTTATCCTTGTGAAATTAATATTTCAGTGCTTCTAATGTTGAATTGCAGGCAGCAGGGATAGTTCATATTATTAGCATCATAATTTCATTATTTGATCAATCATTGGAATGACATCGACTTACTTTCACAAAATATTTGCATGCGCAAGTTACACAAGAAGTTGAAAAATGTAGCTCCTAAAAAGCAGCTTACTCAGATTTGTTCTTCGCTGTAACATGCGGCCAGTATCACACCGTCGACCAAAAAGGCTCGCATTTCTGAAAATCGTTGTGTTGCGCAGAATGATAATTTCACACAATAAATACTGCCTATAATCCTCATCAATGGCCCTCACGGGGTCTATTAAGTATACGCGCAATTGTCTATCAAAGACTCAATGCATGGAACAGGCCCATGTATTTCATTAGTACAACGGGACATTTTGAGCTCTCATAATACCGTTCTTAATCACGGAACGTACGACCAACTAAAAAGCTGTGCATGGCATGGCGACCAACGGATCGCCAGATGCACATAGTCGTGATCAGCGAAATTTTATTTCATACAAAAAAGCGGCCAGTGGCGATAAAAAGGTTTTGCACCACTTTAACTTGCCTTCCGATTTTAAAACTTGATTTAGAACATCTAAAACCAGCATAGATATGATGCGGTGCAAAACAAATATTTACTTTCATATCAAATGAGCTCCAAGATCACGAGTGTTCAAACGAAATAACTTTGTTTTAAGGTTCACGGGGTAGTTCATAATGACCTTGCAATATCGGGACGTGGTATCGTTATGAAGTTTAAAAGCCTAAAGCAATTTATTCGCTGACTAAGTTGATCGTAAATTCGATGTACGATGATATAATTTACCTCGATCTTGAAACTTATCGTCGATCGTAAGTACAAGCTTTCTGCCGATTAAAAACCAATTGTTAAACTGAGTGATTGTGAAGCGAATCAAGATTTTACTTCATGCGTGAGCCGCTCAACTATCATCGGTTTCGGCATGAATAGGCATTGCGCCGCGATAAAAATTGATGATTCTGACGATTTCTTGTCAAAATTATTCGGAATAATTCATCAATATATATATCGACATGTCGAAGTTTTAAATTACTTCAAAGTGCATCAAGTTTTGTTTGCAGCTAAAATAGGAATAGCAGGTATTTAAAATGCAACTTGATCTGCGTAAACAGCTAAGATTTTAATGTATCATATTTCATGCTGAAGCTAGTCTCAAGAAGAGCAAACAAAAAATTTTGGATTGGAAGATTAGGACACAAACAGCGTCCTAATTGCGGAACGTCGCAATAATAAAAAAAATGATAAAACCTCATCAATCTCCAAATAAACAAGAATTATAATTCTAGAAATTAACGCCCAATTAACAATTACAGTAAATAATGAACAGTTGCTAATAATATTTATAACCAACATTTGATACATTTTTTGATCTAGTAGTGAAAGTGACCTAGTAACATACAAACTACAGAATACATACATAAATTTCGGCATAGCTGTCTCTCTACCGTTGAACTTTCAGAAAATGGCTGTAAGTGTACTCCTTCAAACTTGAGAAGATCGTACACATTAGACGCAATGAATAATAATCAGTATGCGCAAAAGATATTACTCTAATCGATGGTGGTACGAATTCTGAGATCGGCAAATTACTGAAGTCAAGCATTACTAACTCCTCATACACTTCCTTTTATAATCGTTCATGTCTTGTAACTAGGGATACCTAGACATGCACGACCATACCTAAATACTTGGCCAAGATCGACTTGAGGTCACTTCGACTAATATAGGCAATGAGCTTCAAAACTCAATCTTGCGTACGCTTCATGAATTTCAGTTATCAAGCGAAAAGTCTCATTCACACCAAACATAAAATTTTCGATTTTTGCGATTATAATAGAATATCAGGTAAACTTTAATTCATTTATTCGATAGAATAGTAGTTAATTCGAGCTGCGACGCATAGAATTTGCCATACCTGACCTAATATTACGTTGCAGATTTCAAGAAAGCGAATGCGAGGATATATGGATATGCGCTGCAACTTCTCCACGCGACAAAATTTCTTCTCGCTTCGAATCACCGACATGTGGAACAGCCTCCCCGATGACATCCTTGGCGCTCCAAGTATGAACGCGTTCAAGAACAGACTAGATAAAGCT